CAGAATGTCTGTCATCAATTCCGTATTGGTGAGGATGTGGAGAAAAAGGAAACCAAGTGCATGGTTGGTGGCATTGAAATTGGTGTGGTCACTAATATTATCTTTATATACTGTTGCTCAATAAGCTGTACTTACAAATAATGTTTAATGCATTCATCTTTGAAATCATTAAAGAAACAAAAGCAGAGTTATTAGCCAAAATACCACAATGCTGGCTGTTTTATTTACCCATGTAGTTACCTCTACTGGCATTCTTTCTTTCTTCACATGGCCTCGAGTTACTGCCTAGTGTCCTTTCATTTCAGTCTGAAGAAGTCCTTTTAGCAGTTCTTATTGGGCTGATTTCATAGCAACAAACTGCCTAGTTTTTGTTTATCTGGAAATATCTTTATTTCTCCTTTATTTTTGAAGATTAGTTTTGCCAGATATAGAATTATTAATTATTTTTTTCCTTCCAACATTTTAAATATGCTGTCCCATTGCTTTTTGGTTTCCACTGTTTCTGATGACAAATAGGCTGTTAATCTGGTAGAGGAGCCCATGTACAGGCTAAATCACTTTTCTCTTGTTGCTTGCTCAGTCTTTCTTTGATATTTGACAGTTTTATTACACTGTGTCCTGGTGTGAATTTCTTTGAGTTTATCTTACTTGTATTCTGTTGAGCTTCTTAGATGTGTAAATTCATATCTTTTGTCAAATTTGGGATGTTTGCAGCCATTTTTTCTTCAAATATTCTTTCTGCCCCATCCTCTCTCTCTCTTCTTCTGAACCTGCCACAATGACATGATACATGTGTTCCACAAGTTTCTTTGACTCTGGGTTGGTTTTTTTTTTTTTTCCATTATTTTTCCTTTCTGCTCCACAGACTAGATAATTTCAGTTGTCCTAACTTCAAGTTTGCTGATTTGTTTTTTCTGCCTGTTCAAGTATGCTCTTGAAGCTCTCTAGCAAATTTTTAATTATAGCTACTTACTTTTCTAGCTCCAGAATTCCCATTTGGTTTCTTTTTGTAACTTCCATTTCTCTGCTGATATTCTCTACTTACTCATATATTATTCTCCCTCTTTTCTTTAGTTTTTGCCCATGGTTTTCTTTGAGTTATTTGAGCATATGTAAGACAGTTGATTTAAAGTCTTTGACTACTATGTTCAATGTCTGGGCTTCCTCAAAGATGTTATTTTTCACTTTTTTCCCTGTGAATGAGTCACATTTTCCTATTTATTTGTATACATTGTGAATTTTTGGTCAAAAAAAATGGACATTTTGCATATTATAATTATGGGAATCAGAATCATTCCCCCCTCTATAGAGTTTGCTCTTGTTCCTTGTTGAAGGCTATAATCACCCATTTGTCTAATAAGTCTCCAATTTAATTTTTGCAAAGACTGTACTTCTAACTTGTAGTGGTCACCAAAGTCTCTGTTGCATTATTTTAGTAGTCAGCCAGTAACCTGACAGAAATTTCATTAAATACCTCAAACCAAAAAGAAAAGAAAAACCATACTCTTATTTTTGCAGATTGGCTCTGAGCAGAGGCAGTCCTTCAGTGCTTGGCAGGACTTCTATAGTTCTGCCCAAGCTTTCACTTCCTGCTTCTGCAGACCCTCGCATAAGCCAGAGGTGCACTCAGGTCTTTTCTGAGCAAGCATCATGTTCTGAACAGGCACATTACAAAACCTATTTTGCCCCATTCTATAGTATTCTATTGTATGTATATACCATATTTTATTTTCCATCCATTAGTTAGTTGATGGGCGTTTGGATTGTTTCTACTTTTTGGCTAATATGAATAATGCTACTGATATTGTAGACCATTTCTACATTGTGTGTGTACACACACACACACACACACACACACACACACACAGATCATTTCTATTAAAACCAGGCTTATTTAGATATAATTGATATAAAATGAACTACATATCTTGAAAATTTATAATTTGATGATTTTTAAATATATGATTTTGTGAATTAACCACAGTTAATAAACATTTCATCACCCTCAAAAATTTCCACATGACCCTTTGAAATCCTATGCAACTCTATAACCCAGTCTGCCTGTACCAACTGATCAGCTTTCTGTCATTAAGCATTAGTTCGCATTTTGTAGTATTTTATATTAATTGAATAATACAGTATCTCTCTTTGTGTCTGATTTCTTTCACTCAACATGATTATTTTGATTTTCTTTCATGTTGTTGTGTGTATCAATAGCTCCTTATTTTACTGCAGAGTAGTATTCCATTGTGTATCTATATCACAACTTGTTTATTCATTCACCTATCGATGGATATTGGAATTTTTCTACCTTTTTAGCTATTACAAATGATAATGTTTGAACATTTTTGTGCAAACATTTTTAAGGGGTTCTATGGTAGGTATGTGTTTAACATTTTAGGAAACTGCCAAACGGTTTTCAAAAGTGAAAAACAATAGCCATTCCAACGATAGCTAACTATTGTGTCATTTTACATACTAGACGATAGCTAACTATTGTGTCATTTTACATACTATCAGCAGTGTATGAGAATTCTACTTGTTTTCAAGTATTTTGTACATATATAAAAACACAAAACAGCTATTTCTGCAGCCTCTTATCAAATATTAATGTTTTGCCTTTATTCTTATAAAATTATTTATTAAAATTGTGTTTGAAATGTAACCTACTTGCCTTATTTTAAAATAAAATATTACAGATACAATTGAAGTACCTTGTATTCCCTTCCCCTGTTTTATTCTCCTATCTCTTCTTCTTTGAATTAATTACTATCCTGAATTTGGTGTTTATCATGTCATAATGTATATAATATTATTTCCAAATATATATGTAGCTATAGGTGTGTATATATATGCTATATATTAGTATAGTAGGGTAGATATATGTATATATACCCTAGTGTGTGTATATATACCATATGTATCATATATATGATCTGTCCATATGTATGTATGATCTGACTCTGTGTGTGTGTGTGAATAAAATGGTCTAGCCAGAAGGTATCCAGCTATATAATATGAAAAAGAGACATTTATTGAAGAAAATACAAGATAACAAGACATTGTATATAGGATAGTGATGCCTCAGTCTCCCTTCAAAGTCGGCACCATGGGGCTCCCAGGCTCCCAGCTGCCCTGTTGTATTTTTCTGAATCTCATTGATGGTCTGAAATCTCTTCCCTTTCAAAGGCGATTTTAGTTTTGGGAAAAGCCAGAAGTCTCAGAGCACCAAGTCTGGGCCATTGGGGGAGCTGAGTCACCTGCGTGAATTGATGTTTTTCCAAAAAACTCTGCTTTAAACGTTGATGGATGAGTGGGCACATCGTTGTGATGAAGCTGCCAATCACCAGTTGCCCATAGCTGTGGCCTTCAGAATCATCCGAGTAGTTTCCATGGAGGAATGTTCTTAATGCAAAATTTGATGCAGATTCGTTGCTCTAATTACTCTGTCATTTTGAATGTGACAACCACACAGTACACATGCTCACTCAATGGTGCCTATCACCCCCACTGGTTAGTACAGTTAAGTAGCCATTGTTCATGCATGGCATATGCATTCCAGTACAATCTCCTTGGCTGCCAGGTTATATGGATGTTGCGCAAACCATTCTCATTATATTAATAAAGGCTGGACTTTTTGTGGACAGACCTCATATATATATATATACACCAGAGTATACCCATATAGAGCATATTGTATATATACTATATATAAATACCATATATTAAATTTATATACTAGAATATATGCTATATATGCAATATTCTATTCTTACTATAACTTATTTTTTCATTGTTATATATTTTATATTTATTAATATTGATAAATCTGTAACTTTGTTCAGTGTTTTTTCAGACTGTGAGTTGCAAACCATAAGTACCTCACAGTATCAATTTAGTAAGACATGAGCTACTTTAGAAAAAAATGGAATAACATAGGAAAGAGGGTGTATCATACGTACTCAATTTAAATATAATTTTGTGAAAGTTCTCAATACATATATGAGTATCTATGTATTGAGTCATCGTATAAACTGTATTTCTAATTGTAGGTAAAACACTTGAAAGTCTGAGCTGAACTTTGTCAATTTAACTATTATATACTATTTCATTATATAAATACAACAAAGTTTAGGTAACATTTTTTTCCTTTGATATTTCAGTTGTTTCCACTGTTTTACTACTACAGGCAATACTGCAAAATACTCATAAACATGTCTCCTTGTGCACATATAAAAGAGTTTTTCTATAGTTGCAAGTGGAATTGCCAGAGTACATGCATTTTCAAATCTGTTGGATATTGCTAAATTCCTCTCCATTGTGCAGTTTTCTCTAACAATGTATTGGTTCAAATCATTCCATATCTTTAACATTGGGCATTAAAAGTGTCATTCTAATGGGTGTAAAATAGCAGGTCATTGTTTTTTTAAATTTAATTCCCATAAATATTCAGTGAAGTTGAATGTAGTTTCTTGTGATTATTAGATATCTGGGTTTCTCCTTTTACAAACTGCCTAATTTTCCATTGGATTGTCTTTAACTCATTAATTTGTATTTGATATCAAACTCTGGGTTCTAATCCTTTGTTAACTGATATATATTACAAACATCTTCACCTAGTCTGTGGCTTGTATTTCACTTTCACATGTTCTTTGATAATCAAATTTCTTTAATTTCAAAGTATGAAATTTATTAAACTTTTTCTTTACACTTTGTACTCTATCAATTTATTTTTCTTATTTAAAAAAATAAGAAAAAGGAGCCTCTACATCCTAGGAGATTGCTAGGAGAGAGGAACCTCTCCTTTTCCCTCTCCCTTTTCTTAAGAGTTGTCTGCTGGTTCTCAGCCTGAAGATTCTCCAGTCCTTATTGATCCTTTTTCTTGATGTTACCATTTTTTGAAGCACAGTTAACCTAGTTTTCTAGTTTGAGCTTTCTTTTTGGTCATCTTAAAAAAAATTTTTTTTAAGTCTGTAAACTAGACAAGAGATAGTTCTACAATGTCCAAGTCATTCCAGCAGTCATCTCTCAGTAGGGACGCGCAGAGTCATGGGCGTGGCCTGTCTGCAGCAGGAATAGACCTTCTTGCTGCTGCTACCCAGTCTTTAAATATGCCGGCATCTCTTGGAAGGATGAATCAGGGTACTGCATGCCTTGCTAGTTTAATTAATCTTGGAATGAGTTCTTCATTGAATGAACAAGAAGCTCATAGTGCACTGTCTTCTGCTAGTACTCCTTCCCATAATTTGCAGTCTATATTTAACATTGGAAGTAGAGGTCCACTTCCTTTGTCTTCTCAACACCGTGCAGATGCAGACCAGGCCAGTAACATTTTGGTCAGCTTTGGTTTATCTGCTAGAGACTTAGATGAACTGAGTTGTTATCTAGAGGACAAGATCACTCCTGAGAATTTGCCCCAAATCCTTCTACAACTTAAAAGGAGGAGAACTGAAGAAGGCCCTACATTGAGTTATGGTAGAGATGGCAGATCTGCTACACGGGAGCCACCATACAGAGTACCTAGGGAGGATAGGGAAGATAAAAGGCACTTTAGAAGAGATAGTTTTGATGATCATGGTCCTAGGCTCAACCCAGTGCTTGATTATGACCATGGAAGTCATTCTCAAGAATCTGGTTATTATGACAGAATGGATTATGAAGATGACAGATTAAGAGATGGAGAAAGGTGTAGGGATGATTCCTTTTTTGGCGAGACCTTGCATAACTATCATAAATTTGACAGTGAGTATGGGAGAATGGGATGTGGTCCTGGCCCCTTACAAGAGAGATCTCTCTTTGAGAAAAAGATGGGCGCTCCTCCAAGTAGCATTATTGAAGACTTCCATGGACTCTCACCGAAGGGTTATCCCCATCTGTGCTCTATATGTGACTTGCCAGTTCATTCTAATAAGGAGTGGAGTCAACATATCAATGGAGCAAGTCACAGTCGTCGATGCCAGCTTCTTCTTGAAATCTACCCAGAATGGAACCCTGACAATGATACAGGACATACAATGGGTGATCTGTTCATGTTGCAGCAATCTACAAACCCAACACCAGGAATTCTGGGGCTTCCACCTCCCTCATTTCATCTTGGGGGACCAGGAGTTGGACCAAGAGGAAATCTGGGTCCTGGAAATGGGAACCTGCAAGGACCAAGACACATGCAAAAAGGCAGAGTGGAAACTAGCTGAGTTGTTCACATCATGGATTTTCAGCAAGGAAAAACTTGAGATATCAATTACTATAGCTGGTGGAACCATTTGGAGTCATTTCAAATCATCTCATTTTAAATAAAAGTAATGAGGCATTTATTGAAATGGCAACTACAGAAGATGCTCAGGCTGCAGTAGATTATTATACAACAACACCAGCATTAGTATTTGGCAAGCCAATGAGAGTTCATTTATCCCAGAAGTATAAAAGAACAAAGAAACCCGAAGGGAAGCCAGACCAGAAGTTTGATCAAAAGCAGGAGCTTGGATGTGTGATACATCTTAGCAACTTACCTCATTCTGGCTATTCTGACAGTGCTGTCTTTAAGCTTGCTGAGCCTTATGGGAAAATAAAGAATTATATATTGATGAGAATGAAAAGTCAGGCCTTTATTGAGATGGAGACCAGAGAGGATGCAATGGCAACGATCGACCACTGTTTGATAAAGGTCCTTTGGTTTCAAGGGAGATGTGTGAAAGTTGACCTGTCTGAAAAATATAAAAAATTGGTACTAAGGATTCCTAACAGAGGGATTGACCTACTGAAAAAAGATAAATCTCGAAGAAGATCTTAGTCTCCAGACAGCAAAGAATCTCCGAGTGATAAGAAATCCAAAACTGACGGTTTCCAGAAGACTGAAAGTACAGCTGAAGGTAAAGAACAAGAAGAAAAGTCAGATGAAGATGGCGAAAAAGACACAAAAAATGACCAGGCAGAACAAGAACCTAGCATGCTTCTTGAATCTGAAGATGAGCTACTCATGGATGAAGAAGCAGCAGCACTGCTAGAAAGTGGCAGTTCAGTGGGAGATGAGACAGATCTTGCTAATTTAGGTGATGTGACTTCTGATGGGAAAAAGAAACCTTCAGACAAAGCTGTGAAAAAAGATGGAAGTGCAAGTGCTTCAGTGTCAAAGAAAAAGCTTAAAAAGGTGGACAAGATGGAAGAACTTGATCAAGAAAACAAAGCAGCGTTGGAAAATGGAATTAAAAATGAGGAAAATGCAGAACCAGGCGCTGAATCTGCCGAGAATGCTGCTGATCCCAACAAAGACACAAGTGAAAATGCAGCTGGCCAAAGTGATGAAAACAAGGAAGACTGTACAATCCTAGGTGAGTATAGAATTGGACCATATCAGCCCAATGTTCCTGTTGGTATAGACTATGTGATACCTAAAACAGGGTTTTACTATAAGCTGTGTTCACTCTTTTATACAAATGAAGAAGTTGCAGAGAATACTCGTTGCAGCAGCCTTCCTCATTATCAGAAATTAAAGAAATTTCTGAATAGGCAGAAGAACGCAGGCAGAAGAAGGAAACTTAAGATGTGCAAGAAGCTTAAAGATTTCAGAGGAAATAATGGTTCTTTGTTTTTAATGTTAACCTTTTTTAAATACAATACTGATAGAAGAAAATCATTTTACTCTTTGTTTTAGTGGAAAAATAATAGATGTCTGTTCATGTGTTAAGTGTTATAGCAAAAACACATATGGTTAAGTTAATGAAGATTGTTTTTGTTTTATCATAATGGTAACAGACAAGTACTTTGTAGAGACTGACTGCCTAAGATACTTAAGACAACTTGCACAACTAAGAAAGAGATACGTAGAACTTTTCAAAGAAATGAAATTCAGTAGTTCTAGGTTTCAAAGAAATGTCAAAACTTTTGATTCCATTCAATAAAGAACAAAACCAATTGTATTTTTATTACTTTCATCTGAAACATTCCACATTTTAATCTGAGCCTTGCAGACTTTCATTTTGAGTTTGAAGCTTTTTTTTATTGCATTTCATTTTTGGAGAACTTCTTTAACTGAGTAGCAATTTAAATACAGTTGCAGTTTTCTTTTAATGTTATGCTGTTGTTTAGGTAATAAATATTAAGTAATGGGCTTTAGATTTTGTAATTTTTTCCCCTAAGTTTCTGCTAGATTTCATATTCCAGTAGTCAATGTATTTTCAGTGAAATGTAAAAAAGTTCCCAATCTCTTTGACCGGTATTAATTTTTTGAGACCTTATTGCTTGTCACTTGACTCCTGTAGCTGTCATACATCTGGTATAAGCAACATCTGATTCTTGAAGTGTGTAGACTATCTTTTCATATTTTCAAGATGTAATTTTACACTTAACGCATTTTAAAAACAGTTTGGCCATAATCTAGACACACACTTCTAATCTATATACCTGCACATGTGACCTTTGTGAACAGAAATTTGCATGTATAATCTGTGTGTACTTGTAACTTTCTGGTTATATACTGCTTATATCTGTGGATTCAAGTTTCTAGAAAACTTATTAAAAAAATAAGAAAAATAAGCTACCCTGAATGGATAGCTCAGTTGGTTAGAGCATCGTCCCCATATACCACCAGGGTTGTGAATTCAATACTCAGTCAGGGCACATACAGGAATCAACCAATGAATACCTAAATAAGTGGAACAACGAATCAATATTTCTCCCCTTTTCTCTCTTCCCTTTCTAAAAATCAATCAATAAATAATTAAAAAATATATAAAAAATAAAAATAATCATAGAAAAAATGCTTTCTCTGAGGAATAATAGTTTTTCCTATAAATTTTCAATAAATTAAAAGTTTTTCCTTTCACATTTAGTTTCTAATCCAACTGTAATTTATTTGGTGTGAGGAGAGGTAGGTTCACCATAAAACTAATGAAGCTTAAGCTTCAGGGACCATTATTTGCGCAAGCCCTTTCTAAGGTCCTGGGAGAATTACAAGTAACGTGTAAAATATTGGTTGTACATTTTTATAAAATTTACAAAAGTAAAATATTTTGGTTTTTTTTTTTAAATAGTGGTCCCCAAATTTTGAGGCCCCGTAAACCTTGGACTTCACTCCTAGGTCTGAGGTAGGAATCTAATTTTAATTTTCTCTCATTTGGATAGTAATTGTTCCAGTGCTGGTTATTGATATATGCAAACCATTTCCCATTGATCTGTAATGCTATTTCTGGCATATATAAAGATTCCATAAACGAAGAAGTTTATTTCTGGGGTCTTTATTCAGTTCCATTGGCCTACTTGCTTATCACTCCTGTTTATTTTGCTCTAATAGAGGTTTGTAGGACTATTTCCATCCTCAGATAGGGATCAAACTAGGTCATTCCATTTGTGATAACATCCATTTATTTTAATGAGAATTACAAATGGAGTTTCCTGATTTTCTTTGAAAGACTTAGGTTACTGGAAAAAGTACATTGTTTCCTAGCTGGGTAGATGTTGAACTCTGTTTAACTGGTTCTGCTAGTTTCTGACATTCTGGAGAATTATACTACTTCTGTAATAGGTAGTAACATTAAAAAATTAGGTACAGCTGACAACTCCTCTCTTAAGCCTTGACTGATTCTCACATAGTTCTAAGTGATTTTTTTCACATCCTACAACATTTTGTACATATTTCACTTTAAATCATATAATGTTTTAATTAGTCACTTATGTTTGTGCTTCCTGTGCCGGCACACCTCAGTGCCTGGCATGGTATGCACCCTACACTGAGCATTCAAAAAATGTCTTTGAGTTAATGAACGAATTCAGAATACCCATCTATTATATTTCAATAACTTGAAGCCAACATGATTATTACTGATTTCCTACAAATTGGACTTCTTATGAACTACACACTGGGCGCAGCTTTCATAGTGTGGTAACACCCATATGACTTGCATAGATACTTGTTCAGTTAACTCTGAGGCTACCTTAAAAATCTTTGTGCTGTAACTCTTTAGGAACCCAGTCAGAAGTATTTTGTGTAGCTACTTACTGTGCATTACTCTAAACCCAGAAAACGTCTTGTTGTTCTATTATTATAGTAATTAAAGGATTTTTATTTTCTTTTTTTCTTCTCAGAAAGGGAGAAATTGAGACTTGAAGTCAGAAGAGTTGGGTTGATTGGCTCTCACCATAGGTGGTTCACTTAATCTTTCCATGCCTGATCTTCCTCATTGTGCTGTACTTTTGTTGTAAAAGGAACAAGGTATAATAACATGTAATGAAAGTTAAGTGATTGTCTAGGTATGTTTTAAAATTGAATTAAACAGTGGTAATTTCATGAATAAATTACATTCAATTTTCATGTTTCTGAAGGAACAAAGTTGAATAGATTAATTTTAGCTAATGTCTACTATCTGTTTACTTATACGTTACTTAAAATAACATTTCCTGCTACAACAGCTAAACTCTCAAATTTGAGGATGTAGTAGTTGACTTCTCAATCATGCAAAATTCTAAGGAATGTTACCAATTAGCAGTTTGTGTTTGTCTAAGCAATGATTCACAGACTCAATCTCCCATTTTGTTGTTTTTTGGCATCTCTTGAAACTTGGAGTTCTCTGTTGCATCCTATTTGTGTAGTTTGGTGATGGGAGAAAGAATACAACTGTTATGTGGAGGGCTTTTATGACCCAACCCTATAACCACATCACTTCTACCCATTTTCAGGTGCTCAGAACTCAGTTACTTGACAGCACGTGACAGTAAGAGAGCGCTAATAATAATCTAGCCATGTGCACAGGAGGAAAAGTAAATAGATTTATTGAATAATTGTTCATTACTGCCACACAACCTATTAAGTATCATATAACATGCAAGGTGCAAGGGATACAAGTCCCTGTACATGGAGATCTTATACATACATTAAACATAATAGAAAAATAAATAATAAAGGAGGTCTTATTTACCTTTTACAAACTTTTAAACAACATTCAAGTATTTCAAAATTTCACCTGAGACTTTCAGTCTCTGGTCCAGTATTGAAGTAGCTTAGAAGTTGCCATTCCATCTTAACAAGTAGACAGCTCAACAAAATGAAATATCACCAACTCTTAGATCCACCAGAGAAGTGAAGTCACAGGGCAAAACGCTGTTTCCAAAATTGGAGAGACAGTAAATCACAACTTAGCGCAGCAGAAACCCATTAGCAGAAGTCCCCTAGGGAAAACCTAGTTATGTAAGGCAAAAGTATGTGAGGCAAAAACTAATAAAACTTCTAGGAGTAATAGATGCACATAAATATAGTCAACGAATCTTTCACAAAGGAGTAAAGGCGATTCAATGGAGCAAAGAATCTTTTCAACAAATGTTACTGGAGCAACTGGACATCTACATGCAGAAAAATGAATCTCGACATTGAGCTTATACCCTCCACAAAAATGAACTCAAAATTGATTGTACCCTTAAATGTAAAACATGAAATGACAATACTAGAATGGGAGAAACCCGATATGACCTTAGTTATGGCAAAATTTTTTTAGATATAATACGAAGACATGATCCATGAAAAAATTGATAATCCAAACTTCATTAAATTAAAAACTTTTGCTCTGCAAAGGACAATTTCCTTTTTTTTTTCTTTTTAAAAATATTTATTTATTTATTTTTCCAAATACATTTGTCTCTGCCTTACCCCCTGCAAAAGACAATTTCAAGAGAAGAAGAACTACAACTAGGAGAAAATATTTGCAAAGTATGTACCTGACAAAATATTTTTATACAAAATATACAAGGAACTCTTACAATTCCACAAGAAAATTAACAATCTGATTTAAAAATGGGCAAAACACATGAACAGACATCTCATCAAAGATATACAGATGGTAAAAGTAAGCATATAAAAAGATATTCAATATCACACGTCATGAGAGAACTGCAGATTAAAACAATGAGATACCACTACATATTTATTACAATAGCTGAAGCCTGGATCACTGACAACACAAAGTGCTGGCAAGAAAGTGGAGCAACAGGAACTCTCCATTCATTATTGGTGGGAATGCAAAATGGTACAGTCACTTTGGAAGATAGTTTGGCAGTTTTTTTTTTTTCACAAACTTAACCATACTCTTACCATATAATCCAGCAATTGTGCTTGTTGGCATTTACCCGAAAGAGTTGAAAATGGTGTTTATGTCCACATAAACACCTGCACGTGCATGTTTATAGCAGAAGCATGCATGATATCCTTCAACAGGTAAATAAACTGTGATACATCCATGCAATGATATATTTTTAATCATTTAAAAAAGAGCTATCAAAACATGAAAAGACATGGAGGAAACTTAAGTGCATAGTATTAAAAGGAAGATGTCAATCTCAGAAGGCAACTATATGACATCCTAGAAATATTAAAACTATGGAGACAGTAAAATGTTCAGTGGTTGCTAGAAGTTTGGGGGATGGAGGGGTGAATAGGCATGGAAGATACTTAAGGTGGTAACACTATTCTCTATATGGTAGACACGTGTCATTATACATTTATCAAAATCCATAGAATGCATAATACCAAGAATGGACCTTACTGTAAACCACAG